GGTAAAAATAGTGCAATTGATTACTGGCATGTGCAAGGAGAAAAAATAAAAAACAAATATATATAACAAAAAATAACAAACAAAAGCTAAAACTAAAACCCAAATAAATTAAACTAAAGGTAACAGCTCCACCCTCCTCTTGTTACACCTAAGTTAAATCCTAATATAAACCTAGAAACTAGTCCTCTGTGAAAGACAGATGCCGTTTGAACAGCACTTCACCAGCTCCCCGGACCTCGCAGGTAACCCAGACAGGTGAACACTGACCCTCAAATACGTCTTCGTGGCGTTCCAGGCTCGAGGTAACGGGATACCCCCTCCCTGGGATTACAACAAACGCAGAAAGAAACAAACCATCAAAAAAATGCCTGTAGATGGAAGGGTCTCACAGAGACCCAGCTGACAGTCATCTAAGCTTTACCAGGGAAAACTGCACACAAGAGGACAAAAAACTCTAGAAAATCATAAAAGGAAATAACAGAACAAAGCATAAAAATAAAAAAAAATTAACCCCAAAAACATCCAGAGAATGGCTAAATGTTAAAAAACCATGTACTCTCATATTTTATTCACAGGAGGTGGAGCCAAAATTCAACTCAGGATATGAGGATATAAATGCATAGCATTCGAACAGGTGGGGTAATTAGAAATCCACAAAAATAAGCCAGTCAGAAATGCACAAATTGGTTCAGTATAGCAGATGGGACAAATCAAAGTTTCATGTAGGCGGAAGGAATGCAAAACAGTGTGGCAAAGGCATCAGCACACTGTAAACTGTTCTGTTCTCATTAATGCAAATAAAGGCAGGGCGTGTATTATCAGGAAACACGCCACAGAACAGCAGGAATCACGCCTGCTCAAGGTGGGATGAGATGAAACTGGAATGGATGGTCCTCCTTGAAAGGATCCCCAGGAAGTGCCAGGTGGAAGTGGCATGCACGAGGTGGCGCCTGCAGCCCCTCGCCGGTCCAGGTGGAAGTGGAGCATCACCCCCCATCATTGTCCCTGTAAAAAAAAAAACCTCACAAACATAGAGAGAAAGCAAAATTAGAAATAAATCAAAACATTSTCAGACAGACATTCCCCGTGTGTGAAAACTGATAATGATTAAGAAATCATTAAATTGTAATTCCTAAACAACAACAAACTCAAACACATCAGTTCTCTATATTATCCTCATATATAAATAAACCCTCTGTTCTCTGAACAAAGTCAGGAGGAAAAACCAGATGTCATATTCTGTATACAAACTGCACTCATTTCTGCTCCTATTAGCATTTATCCATATTTAGCAGTGTAACACATTAATCTGGCTTCCAGGAACCTGCAGTTTGCAGGTTGTTCAAGTATGGAAGTAAATTAAAGTCCTGTTTAGGAGAACTGAAGACATTATCACCTCACACACACGTTTGACATGCAACCCCCAGCCCCAAGCCGGGTGTCCCAGCCCTTCTGTCCCTCCAGGCGAGAAACAGCGAGCCCGAGCAAAACCCGGGTTGGAGTGCTGAAACAGATTTCCACCAGGCACCCAGATAAATCTCGGCGGGAGATAAAAGACCTGTAAGCGGCTGAGACAATCTGAAACAGCATGAAGATGTGGCAATATGGAATGTTTGTAAGATAAGCCGGTGTACGAGGCGCGTGCAGCGCAAACGCAGGGGGGAGGGTAGACC